AGTCGAGTACAGAAAAGTTGATAGAAGCAGAAGATACTTGAAGACGATGTAATCAGTCCATCACCCTTAAAGTTTTGAGGTGGTCAGTCCCTCAGTCTGGAGAAGAGCATTGTTCCATAGTATTCATTCATTGTTTATTTCTATGGAACAATGCTCTTCTCCGACTGAGGGACTGACCACCTCAAAACTTTAAGGGTGATGGACTGATTACAAACGTCTTCAAGTATCTTCTGCTTCTATCAACTTTTTTGTACTTGACTGAAGAAGCACTGTGTAGGCGAAACGTTTCATAATAAAGATACCTTTAAATGTTGCAATGTGTCTTACCTAACAACCTGTCGGTATTTTATACCATTTTTTTGTTAAATCTCCACTCTCTGGAGAGGCGTTAGAATGATTGGAGATATCATTGAAGTGTATAAGTGGATGACGGGCATAAAAAAAGGGGGACATTAATAAAGTACGAGGGTTTTCGAACCAGGTAAGAACCAGAATAATGGATATAAGTTGGAATAAATTTAGATTTAGAAAGGACATAGGTAAGTATGGTTTTCTAACAGAGTTGTAGATGCGTGGAACAGTCTTCCAGTGGGGTGATAGAGGCTAGGACCTTGGGTAGCTTTAAGAAGAGACTGGACAAAATTTTATGAGTGGGAGGGGCTGGGTTTGATTGTGTCAAAGGGTACGGGAGTTATTTCTTGGGGTAGCTTTAGGTAGATGTCGTTTTGATAAGGACCTGCCTCGTATGGGCCAGTAGGCCTTCTGCAGTGTTCCTACATTCTTATGTTCTTATGTTCTTATGTCTAAGGCTAAAGCATCTCCAATTAAATCACGTACCTTACCTCAGTTGGAATTAACAGCCATTGATGTAGGTGTCAAAAATTTGCTAAATTATATAAGAATAAGTTGCAGGAGGTAAATATTATCGACACTGTAATTTTGTCTGATAATGAGGGATCCTTACAATGGATTCGTAATGGAAACAGTAAAATTGTGTACGTACAAAACAGAGTCACTGAAATTAATCAGATGCAAGAGAAGTATAATAGTTTGGGTCAGCATAAGTTAACATTTAATCATAAAACCTGGTGAGGAGAATCCAGCTGATTTCTTGTCTCGAGTTTATCTTATGCTAAATTTGTAAATGCTGTATCATGGTTTAAAGAACCGAGCTGGGTTTGGTAAATAAAGCTAATTGGCCTGTACAAAAGGCGTATATTACTCCTGTTGAAATTTTCTTGACCACACTCCAATTGTTTTTCCTTCCTTAGCGATTGATATAATAGTATTCTTTTTTTTACCCAAATAATAAAGTAACTTTAAATTGGTGTTTAAATTTCTAACAGTGAATATTTCTAGTTTTCACATCCTTTTAATATTGGATAAAGAGGGTACGGAGGAATCTATGGAATGAGATTAAATGATGATGGAAAGAAAATTGTAAATGTTCGTAATAGAGAAATTGGGTGTATTTAGAGAAAATGTATTTGGTGCCCGAGTAGGTTACAAAATGCTGATTGGGTGATTATAGCTAAACACCTTTTCTTACTGCCCAAAAATCATCATTAACAAATTTAATTGTTCTAAATGCCCATAAAAATGTAATGCATGGTGGGGTACAAGATACCTTAAATTGTATTAGGGGAAACTTTCTGGTTCCAAAGGACGGAAGTTAAAAAGGGTGATTAAATCTTGTGTTAATATGTCGCCGTGTGATGCCAGTCCTATATGTACCCAGGTTCTCCCACCATTGTCAAAGACATTTTAGTCGTTTAGCAATGAAGTCCGCCGGCTGCGTGTGGAAAATACTGTATTTTTTCCAGAAATTCAGTAGTTATATGTAAATTAGAGGCCATACGTATTTAAACATTATGCATAGAAACTTGGAAACTGAGCCCGCGCCTGGCGAAGACACTTGCCATGTTTGAACAAGACAGTATCAACTGTTTGTGAATATGGGAAGAATTTTCGTGCTCAGAGTAAAATTGGCTGAATCTCCAAATAGAGCTGAAAATTGTTGGATGTCATTCTGCATAACTTGAGTATCAGGGGACAGGACAGGACAAATCCAGGAACCTCAGATAAACAGTCTAATTTATGTTTAAAATTCTGGCCAGTAAAAAAATTTTCATAAATGTAGGCAAAAGGGGGTCCTGTACATGCCACATTAACTAGTCAAATTGGTGAGTGATATTAGATATTTTCCTTCTGTTATGTAAAATGTGTGTATAATAATTCTTTTTTAATTTTAATATACAGTCAAAATTTTATATATTTACCATAATCCGGGATACAATTTATTTGTTAGTAATAGGTCCAAAAAGCAAATTGTGGATATGGCATTTGGTAGGTATCGCAGGGGGGCATTTTTTGCGCCTGATGTCCCAAATTCCTACTTATCTAACTGATGAATAATAATTATCTTTGTTCATTTACTGTTATGTACATAATGATACATTCAGATAAATGTAATTTTCCACAAAACCCATAGGATTATGCAGCACCTTTAAGGGGGGGAGAGGAGATGGAAGGTGTTCAGGCTTAATTTAGGGAACTGGAGCACAGATACAATTCCCTAGATCAAGAGCCGCTCACCAGTGTCAAGGAACCTTCCTTGAAGGGGAAACTCAACCTGAATTTTGGCTCGTTTCCAGGAGCAAAAAATCGACAGAGTGACGACTTGTATCCTGAGAAACTCACACTGTGGGGCACTCATAAACCGAGGTTCCACTCTATATGTAGTTGGATTATGCTAAATTAAATTGTTCATTTAAAGAGGAAAGAAATATCATAAAAAATTGCTTTTGAACATAAATTCTTTCCCAAAAAATTTTCCTTATTAAAAATATTCTCAATAAAAAATTCCTTTAAAAAATATTTCAATAATTTTAGAAAAAGTTTCAAAATATTTTTTATTCTTCTTTTTAGCTTTAAAAAAATGTGTTCTTTAATAAATAAGAAATAAGAAATATTAAAAAAATTATTTTACATAAAAAATTATTTAAAAAAAAAATATGTTTAAGAAAAATTTCTTTAAACAAAAAATTTAATTAAAAATATTTTTCTTTAAAATAATTAAAAAAAAGTTTAAATTTTTTTTACTGAAAATATTAAAATGTTTTCTTAAAAAGAAAAAAAATATTTTGTAAAAAAATTTTCTTTAAGAAATTAAAGAGTTTCTTTAAAAAGATAAAAGAACTCTTTAAAAAAAATATTTAAAAAATTCCTTTAAAAATCTTTAAAAAGGGATGTTTCCTTTTTTTCATAAAATAACTCATAAAAATATTTTTCTTTACAAAAAATATTTAAATTGGCTTTAATGATTTTTTCGTTAATTTTCTCCAAAAAATCTTTAAAATAGGAATTTGTTTATTTTAAAAGTTTTCTTAAAAAAATCTTTAAAAATTAAGAAAAAACATTTTTCTTTTTAAAAATTACTTTAAAAAATCATTAAAAAAATTTAAAAATTTCTTCACTAAAACCTAATCTTCAGAAAAAAAAATTATAAATATTAAAAATTCTTTACAAATCATACTTCTAAAAATCCCTTAAGAAACAATTTAGAAAAGTTTAAAATAAAAATAAATTGATGCCCAAAAGAATTCTTCAAAAAAATTTTCTCCAAAAAAATTATAAATGAAAATATTTTTCTTTAAAATTATTATAAGAAAATTGTGGTTTGTTTTAAAAGTTGTTGTTTTTATTTAAAATATTTTTTTAAGAATCATGATGTTTGTTTAAAGAAATTTTTTAAAGAATTTTAGAAAGAATTATAAAATAATTCAATTTTTATTTGTAAAATTTGTTATTATTAAAGCTTAATTTATTTTAATTTTTTAAGAAAATATTTTTTTACAGACTTTTGTTTGAAGAATTTTTATATAAAACTTTTCCAAACAATTTTTTTTGTAAATTTTTATAAGTTTTCTTTTTATAAGTTTTTAAAAGTTTTTGTTTCTCAAATTTTTTTGTAAAGAATTTTTTTTAAAGAAAATATATTTTTTAAGATTTTTTTGAGAAATTTTATTTGAAGAAAATAATTATTTTTGAAAATTTTTTAAGATTTTTTTATAGATTTTTTTTTTAAGAAATTTGTAATTTTTTTTATAATTTTCCTAAATTCAGCATGTGTAAATATGAATAATATAATAGCTGCATATAAAAAAATTGATGCTGATTAGACCCTTCAAGAAATTTTGTGTGAAGGAGTGTGTGCAGCAGCGCCGGAGTGATGCATCGGAGAGAAGAGGATGACATGGTAAATTAATGTGTAAGCACTTGTTGTGGTGAAATCATCCAGTGTCATCGAGGCCATAATTGAATGACTCGGCCTCAAACTATAATTAATAAGCACTGGAATGTCCCCTGTTGAAGAACAGGGAGAAAGAATTAATGGGGACTCCAGAATTAGGTGGTAATAATGAAAATAATGAGGCATCACCATGCAGCACATCCAGTATATATGCCATTAGTCCTTTAATTTACTGGTCAGTAAGATTCTATTTGTTAGGTAGGTGTTAGGTGATCTATTTACAATATAAATGGTAAGTGGTAATATAAATTTCTTAATTATCTAACTTTTGGTACATATTTGCCTGGTGTCAATTAGAAAATTCTTACCCTGTCTGTGTTTATTAGTGTTCCCATTAATCCTTACTAGAGATCGTTTTCATTGATTTTCATACAATCCACACTATTTTATAATTTACCATTATTGGTATTAATGTTTAATATTGTAGTTATTAATTTAATATCAGTTAAAGCTTTTTTGTGAGAGTGGTGAAGGAGTGGGCATCGAGGGAGTGACAGTTCTGTGACCTACTGTCACTAGGTCCCACTTACCTCACCCTAATTACTTACATGTAATAATTCAGGTATTACCCTGTACACCTCATGCAGGTAATTTTCTCAAAATTAATTGATTTTTAGAATAATTTTTTTGTAAGAAAATTTTAGGTTAAAAAACAAATAATTTTTTGAAATAACTAATTTAAAAATCGTTTTAAAGGGAATTTATTTATTTATTTTTTTAAAAGAATTGTTTTTAAAACAACTTTTATTTTTTTAAGAAAAAGGAACAATGTGTTGTAGTACTAGTGTCGTAGTGTGTCATGGGGTGAACTGCTGTTTGCTCATGGATTTTCAAAGTCTTTAGCTGACAGCTGGATGACGACCAGCGACTAGCTGGTCGTTGACCTTGTATAAAATTAGCTAGCTCGAACAACTTATCACAACAGTGAACACTAATCCACACATTATGCAACCAGTGAAAAATGCGCAGCTGCTATTGGCAGCTGCGCATTATTGGACAGGAAAAGAAGATGGAGCAGGCTATGAAGGGAAGGAATATTTATAGGGAAAGGGGGGGGGATGTGGAAAATAAAAGCTAAGAGGCCTAACCACTTTTGATTTTTATGTGCTGGTGGATGTAATTTACATATTTTAATTCAATTTAATGTATATATTAACCCAAGATAAGTCGCAGCCAACAATTGTCAGTGAATATTCAGAATAAGAGGAAAGTTGAAGCATGGATCATACATCAGGGCCAATACTGTAGCCGCTCACCCAGAGCGGCTACAGTACAAATATCTGTGACTCTAAATTTTTCATCCCACAGTCCTAACTTTCATAGTATAACTTTTCTCATACATCTTAAAGCTGTGTAGTCTATAAACCAAAAATAAGTTGTAATGAAAGACTGTCAATGAATAAATAGAAGAATAGACGGGGATTATCTTGTCACTCTGGCTGAGACGATCTTGAAGTAGATGTTGAATAATGCAGGGCTCAGGCAGGAGTCTTGGGGCACCCCGGCTTCATCTGTCTTGTAGGTGTATTAAGGGAAGATGTTTCTGTTGTACTTCACTCTCTTTCATCTCCAACTACCTTATTAAATGACGCCAAAATCCAGTATTCCCAGTCAAATCCAAATCGTGCCTTGTTTACGTCCCTTGATGCATGGATTGTTTGCATAGGTTGCCATTATCATGTTGCATGTTGATTTGCTCTCTCGTTTCTGAATCTGAAATATTTATCCTTGAAGAGTGATGGAATTCCACGTACGAGTTAATTCTGCTCCAGACAACTGTTTTCAAAAACCTTGCCACTGATCTCTCTTAGAGGTCGCTAGTGAGAGGGATTGGCCTGTAGTTCTCGTGCTTAGGCTTTTCTTTATAAGATTGTACTATTCTGACTATAAGCGTGAAGTAGCCTGAAGCATATGGTGTCATAAATGTTGAACAGAAACAATTATTTGCAATAGTAGCTTGGAAAGTATTTTATTTGTTTGGCTGTTGATCCTGAGTCCTGATATAATTGTCTCTTGTTTAGCCAGTGACCAGCTTAATCTCCAGAATAATAATATAATAATAATATCTTTATTTCTATAAGTACATGTACAAGGTATACAGTCCTAGCTGACATCACTGACATACTACTATATAGAAAGCTACTTGTTATGTTGAGAACTTCGGGCAAATTAAGTCAGTTTCGTCCCAGGATACGACCCACACCAGTCGGCTATCACCCAGGTACCCATTTTATATAGATGGGTGAACATGGACAGCAGGTGTCTAATGGAAACAAGTCCTAATGTAGTCCAGCCGTTGAGGCATGGAGGTGGCCTTTAATGAGGTTAGTGATGCCACTGGCTCTATAGACTCCAGGGGTATCCTGCCTACTTGCAGAGTGATGGATGTCTGAGTGTGTGAAGTATCCGGTGTCACAGTACACACTTGTAGAGTAAAGCTTGAGTGTGTGAAGTCTTGGTTGGTACTCTGCCCACTCGCAGAGTGACGAAACTAAGGTACTTCCCACTGTAATAATCATAAGGATATTTCCGCGACTTGTGAGCTCCTGAAAAAAAATATGGTTTATAGTAATATCATTGGACAATTTATTCGTAAATAAATAACATTGCACAGTACTTACAGCTTCACCAAATATGTACTGAATATCTTCCTTGCTTAAGAGCATATACAACCCATAAGAATCATTAATAAAAGTACAGAGCCTCACAAGACCGATGTTTACTACTAGTATCACCAGCATTTTGATGTTCAGCATTTAATAATTGATTAAAAATTTACCTGTCTAATATCTTAAAAGATAGACTTCAACTATAAATACAGTTATTATTATTAATTATTATTATTATTTGGCCTTTGTGGTTTAGCGCTTCTTTTTGATAATATTAATAATAATAATAATAATAATAATAATAATAATAATAATAATAATAATAATAATAAAATAATAATAATATTATTATTATTATTATTATTATTATTATTATTATTATTATTATTATTTTAATCATATAATTATTATTATTATTTTAATCATATCATTACTATTATAGATATCAGTATCATTATTATTATAGGACGAACTCACAACATTTCCAAAAAGAAAGTCTCAGGATGGGTTGAACTCTGTATTTCAATAATTTGTTCATGAAATCTGTAAGAAGGTTAAATGATAATTTCACACTAACTGCGCCGCCTCCTCGATAAATATTAATTTTACCGCGAGGAGAAAATATACCTTTCACTGATGATGAATTCATACTGAGAGTAGTTCCTGAGGAGTCTTATGGACACCAGAAACAGGAGATAAGAGACGAAGGTAAAACATATGGCAATCACATAGGCGCCATGTCTCCAGCTGTGCAGGTCGTGTAGCGACTTCGAAGGATCCCTCGCCTGAGATCTGAGTTTGCCCACTCGAACTCCCAGAGAGTTTTCCTCCAAGCGGAGGTTGCAGACAGAGGCTCCCTTAGCCTTCACGCGGAACCCGCGGAGCTCTCCACATTTGACGGAGGAGCTGATGGTCTCGGAGAAGTTAAAGTTGTCCAAGGTGAGGTGGTAAGCGTGTGCCCCGTCTGTAAGTCTAATATAATCCAGTTTCATCACCGTCTGTGTCTTGGGAGTTCGCAGATGGAAGATATTCTTCGTTAAGAAGCGGTTAGCTCCGTAGATGTTCTCATGACTGCAGGATCCAATCTTCAGGGAGATCTCCAAGTACCGGAAGTCAACACTGATGTTAACGAGGAACTGGTTGTGTTCATGAGGCACTTCCATGACATCTTCCCTCTTGCTGGACCCAGCAATGCAGTTTACGGATGACCTCAACCCAGTTCTTTGCATTTGATAGGACGGTGCTTCGTTACCGTTCCTGGTGGAGGGACGCGTAGGCTGCGACTGTGAGAAACGCACTTCGGTAACCCAATTGAACGGCACTTTTACTGACGGAGGAGTTGTGGCAAGAGATACTGAAGGCTGGAGAAGAGACTTCGCCTCACAGGCTGGAAACAGCAACACCAAGCATAAAGCGATGATTACGAGCGTCGTCATGGTTAACAGTCTTACTCGATTACTTCTCTCTTTGATTTAATCAATTATAGTTCTCAATAGTTTGCCACTCAAGTTTACAGAGATGACATCAGTCGTGGCATATTACTGTTACAACACATCACAACAATCGTCACTTAATGCTGTCACAACAGATCACAACCTTCTTCCAATGCTACTGTAACATCAGGTCAGTGTAGTTGCTGCATATTACCTGATACATCAGTTCCCTGTGTTCACTGCACATCATCGTTAAAACAGATCACTGTAGCTTTCCCGTTATTACCGTTATAACGGTGGTGGTCTCCCTCCCAAATTCAGAGGTAATGAACGAATGAAGGATAAATTACATCAAGCTTGTGAGAGTGACCAGCAGAGCTCAGTGATAAGATTATTTTTAATGCAGCTTATCAACACTCCAGGTTATCAACAACCTACTGCCACGATACTGAACCTTTGTTGTTACCTAACCAAGGCATAACCTACACTATCATAACATCCACTAATCTACAGTAACCCACCGTAACAGAGTAACTTAAAAATAACCTAACATAAACAAGAATAGCTTAATGGTACCTAACATAATCAAAACTGAAAAATTCTAAGGTAAACTAACCCAAACTACCCATTAACATAATCAAAACGGAACAATTCTAAGGTAAACTAACTTAAATTACAAATTAAAATTAAATGTTTAGAAAATGGGATATAAAGTGAATGCTTTAATTGCAATACTAGAATTTCTAAAAGACAAATAATTTATGATGTGTTGCAATAATTGTATAATCAACATCTCAGACTGGTAAGAAAATACTTTTGTATCTCTGATTCTTTGTATTTTTATTGACGGTAAACAAACTTTATCTCATCATTGTTACTGTGTATACTGTGTACTGTGTATGAGTGTACAGTGTATACTGAGTGTACTGTGTATGGTGGATATACTGTGTATGAGTGTACAGTGTATACTGAATATATTGTGTATGGTGGATATACTGTGTATGAGTGTACAGTGTATACTGAGTATATTGTGTATGGTGGATATACTGTGTATGAGTGTACAGTGTATACTGAGTATACTGTTTATACTGGCTGTACTGTGTATGCTGAGTATATTGTGTATACTAAGTGTACTGTGTATACTGAGTCTACTGTGCATACTAACAGTACAGTGTATGCTAAGTATACTGCTTATACTGGGTGTATTGTGTATACTAAGTGAACTGTTTATACTGAGCATATTGTGTATACTGGGTATACTGAATATAGTGTACTGTGTATACTGAGGGTACTGTGCATACTGAGTATTCTCTGTATACTGAGTGTACTTTGTATACTAAGTGTACTGTATATACTGAATATACAGTGTATACTGAGTATACTGTGGTGTATAGTGAAAATACTGTGTGTACTGGATGAACTTTGTATACTGAGTGTATCGTGTATACTAAGCACACAGTATATACTAAGTATACTGTGTATACTGGGTGTACAGTGTATATTTAGTGTACTGTGTATACTGAGTGTGCTGTGCATACTGAGTGTGTTGTGTATACTGGATGTATTGTGTACTGAGTGTACAGTGTACACTGAGTGAACTGTGTATACTATGTCTGTACAGGATGTACTGTGTATACTGTGCGTACTGTGAATACTGGGTGTACTGTGTATATTTAGTGTACTGCGTATACTGGGTGTACTGTGCATGCTGAGTGTGCAGTGTATACTGAATATACTGTGTACACTGTGTGATGTTGTTACAAAAAAACGCGATTTCTAAAAGCTTAGAGATCTCCAGTGAATACTAGAAAGGACTGCCCTTCTAGCATCCAGCCTGTTACTGGGTTTTCGTAACAATTAGTCAGTATCCTTGTCCAATTATCCATTAGAATTCAATAAGAATTAATAGTGCTTTAGGATTACAACTGGTAGGCTACTAACTAGAGAAATTAAAATTTAATAAATTTATTAAGTATAGTCTAGAGGTATATTAATTAATCGGTTCAAACAAATTAATAATAATCACTTCTCTCTTATACAGTAGTATTGTGCTGATAGCACATATCACATATTTATAAGTCTTAAGTACCGTCTGATACATTAACAAGTAATAATACAAATAAGTGTGTGTATGTGTATAAGTGCTATGTCTCACGACTCGACTAGACTTAAACAAGTGACTGACAAAGTCCTCTCATAATCTAACTTCTTGACCAACTGGCAGTCAGAACAGTCTGCTTAAACAATAAAAAGAATGCTAAGCCCAATAGCAATATAACAAGCAACTGTGACACAGAATCAGGAACAAGGAGATAATATAACGTCACTAAGTAGGGACAATCAGCAGATCCACCACAAAAGTCACAAAACTCCCTTACTGAATTTATGTTCAGCATATGAAAATACCCGACTGTGACAGTACACAGATACCAATACAAATTAGGTCAGAAGCTACAGCTCAGGACCTGAGTTGCTCAGATTGTCTATGCGACACACAACCTCAGTACAAAGTCGAAAATCACTTAGACAATGTTCTGTGAACAGAGTCCCACAGAACCTACAACAATAATGAGACAGAGACGATCTTCCAACAAGGGCCAATAAGGGAGATTTAGGCACGTCTTGTCAAGAATACGTCCACCCACCAAGCGAGTCTAGACCAGACTGAATATTTCAGGCGAGGTGAGAACACCCCCCTCGATCACGTGATAGCTCCATGGACAGTTGCTGCTCAGCAACAGAGAAGCCGGCAGGGAAACGAGCAATGAGCGATAATTACAGTAGTTAGACAATCAAGACTTGAACTATGAGCACGTAATATGTTACATCCTACCTAACAAAAGTAACTAAGTCAAATAATAATACAAAGCAATATATTTACGATTTAGCTATTATCGCAAATATAAGCAATATAAAATTATATGAAAAGGTAATATACATTATATACATATGCATAATATACATCATATACATTGTAACCCATTCAGGGGTTGCAACACCCCCCCAAACGGTCGCACTAGGAGTTGCGTTAATGTCTTTCACATTATTACTGATTACTCATGTCACATTAATAACACAATTTAATAAAAAAATAAGTCAATCTTGTGCCAAGCACTTCTATAATTTCACAGTGTCTATTTCACTAAGTTATGCCCCTAGTACTAGGGCAGTACACAGTATCGTATCTCTGCATACTCGTGGTTATGTACATCAGTGTAGAGACAGAATAGCGTAGACAAGTATGACACGTTGAGGCTCGATCATAGTAGAGGAGACTGCATATGAACAATAGTCTTGTGCGATAGACAGGAGACAGCATTCCACTCTTAAGTAGTGGTAGTGGAATGCGAGGCATTAGGGGACATCTGAGTTTAAAAAACACCTTTTTTTGGTGTGTTGTGAGGGGGATGTTGCGGCAGGACTGTTCAGCCCCCGGCAGTAAAAAACGCCCCAAAAAACACTACAAACTCATCACTCAGCTTCTGTCTCCTTACCCCCATATGCCCCCAAATTATTTTGTGAATAATAAATAGATTAATTAGACTTTGATAAATATAGTTAAATGGGCTGGAAAAATTTACTTTACTTTACTGAATTTTGCCATACCCAAGAAAAAAAGGGTTTTTTGGGGGCTGGATTCTGAGGCCCCCTCATGATCCTGGGTTTTTTTAACTCTTCATAGTGTTTATGTAGGTAAAGTCGTTTGTGGTCAAAAAAAAAACGATTAAATTTTTTAAATGGGGAAGTCCCCAAAAATACACGCCCAAAATTTTCCCAAAGGGGGAAAACCAAAAGAGCTAGACCCTTTTTTTCTCAATAGTGGCAAAATTTTTTCGGGTTTTGTCGTTTGAGCTTAGTTGAATAGTAAACATATGGGATGGAGAATGTAAAGGGGAAATTTTGGGACTTTTTTGGAGCAGCACAGCGCCCCCTGCTAACCACTCACATCATTTTAAAAAAAAGGGGAAAAATTGAAATTAGGACTTTCAACACAGGACAAAGGAAGCAAAGTTTCAATTTTTTTAAACAAAGTTAAAACAATCTCTAGCCCAGGTGAACTGAATTTTGGGCTACTAAAAGTTTCAGTGAAGGAGCTGCAATCTGAGAAAAGTTTGGACAGAACCTGGGGGAAATATCCTGCCATACCCGGGAAAATCCTGTCCCTTTTCCCTTTCCCAACCTGTGGCCCCCCGGAAAAATTTTCGAAATTGAAACGAACCTTAGCCTCAAAAAAGGAGCAACCCACCTTGGCCGATAAAAAAACCTAAATAGGTAATTTTAAGTTTTGCCCCAAACCCTACTTTTACCCTAATTTAACAGGAATTTTGGTAGTGCCCAGTCTTTTCAAAAAATGCCTCTGAGAGGCTTGTTGTTCCCACTCGCACTGTTCACCAAAAGTCGTCATAAGGTAGGCTTTCTCCCTCAAATTTTGGGGGGGCCCAAAGGGTCTTATACGTTGGAATGAAAAAGCCGCGTAAACATAGGCCGGGGGGGGGTGCCGAGGTAAAAAAACAATCCATCTAAACCCAGTAAAAAGAAAGTATTTCTTGAGCACGTTCAGTAAGGGGGGATTTGAAAAATTGGGGCCCTAAAAAGAGATCAAAAAGGGCGAAAAAACGGGGCTCCTGACTCAGGTAAATTAAGGTGCCCAGGCGAGGTAGAGGAAACCATCGGGAAAGGGGAAACAGATTTCATTTTTTCTTTTTATCAGTGCCATCCAAAAAACACCGCCCCAGGGTTTGGGACAAAAATACATGGAGATCCCCAGGATTTTTAACTGCCTCAAAAAGTCCGTGAGATAAAAAAAATCAACCTCTTCTTCAATGCTTTATGTTTTTTTTAGATAAAGGGTATATGGGGGTTTGCAAAAGGGTGATGCTCCCTGTACATCAACGCCCAGTACCCCCAGGGGTAAAAACGTTAGGAACATAAACTGAAAAAATTCGGGGGAAAAAAAAAAAATCATTTTTTTTTAATTTAAACCATCTTTATAAACCCCAAGTTTATTTGGGAAAATGGGTTCCAGTGATTGTGGGAGTCACTGAATTTTTCCTAAACGAACCAAAAACCTCTAGGAGGGGTGGGTTTTAGACTGCGTTTTTTTCCTTGTCCAAAGAAGAATAGATGTAGTAGGTAGGGATTTAGCTTTAGAAATGTTTTAAAGGGCGGGTTTAACATGGTACAAAATTTTTTGTTTTCTTTTCCCGGGCGAAAGTCCAAAAAAATTTTAAACGTCGTTTAAGCCTTTTAAATCCCTTCCCAAGGGACCTCATTCCCGGGCTTGTAGAGCATAAACCTGGTATAATTTCCAGCCACACCTTTTTCCCCCTTTTTTTAAAGAGCGAGAACAGCAGT